TTTTTTTTTTTTTTTTTTTTTTTTTTTTTTTTTTTTTTTTTTTTTTTTTTTTTTTTTGTAATGAGATTTCTGCGATCGTTGTACTTGAGTTATCGCTGTTACTGCTTGTTCATTTGAGCTTTTGATGATTTGTTCGTTGTTTTGATCTCCGTTTTTGGATCATTTCATCGATTTCGGACTGTTACAACGCTCTCATTGGATACTTGATTTTCACTGGATCTTTCCGCAGATTAATGAACTGTCTAGAAACTTCTCTCCCTTTGATTCACAGATTTGTGTCTATTTTTCCATTTTATGCCTCATTATCAGATACCTCCTGTTTCCAACGCTAAATTGTAACTGCTGGTGCGTCCAACAAATTTTCTAACCAATTTTGTCTGTATATTATTTTCCTTGGATTCTTCTTTTTTTGGAAAAACATGATTGAGACGATTGTTTCCTTTATCATCATTCTGTCTGTTCTTTAGTTTGGTTAATTTTCCATTCAATCTCTTCTTCTTCTTCTTCTTCCAATGAAATGTCTCAGTTTGTTTACAGGAAACAAGCTTGGCCATTGCCAGAGTCCAGCATTTGCAGTGTTTGAAGATTGCTTCACAGAGAGATCAGTTCCACTTTTGAATCAGCTACAACAATGGCTGACTCTGGTTCTGAGTTGTGTCCTGTTCAGTCTGCCGTGTTGGGGCACAAATCCAAAGGCAGCCCTTTTTTCAGTGTCCCTGGTCTCTTTGTTGGCTTAAATTTCAAAGTAGCTTCAGATCATGATTCAGTCAAAAGTCCCACCTCTCCTTTAGAACTTAGGGTGTTTTCAAATCTTAGCAACTCAATAGGATCCCCTAAATCATCCTATGGCGGCCATAGAAGGAGCTGGGATTGTAGTAAAGTAGGATTAGGCATTATTGATTCTCTTGATGATGATAATAACCTATCTGCTAAACCTCTTGGATCATCTGAGAGTAAGAACATCATTTTTGGACCCCAAGTTAGAACCAAGACTCAGACCCCAAATCTTCACATTGATCCAGTTTTTCCCCGGGCAGGTCCTGGATCTTTGCCTAAAAATTGTCCCAACTTTCTACCATTGCAGTTCAAATCAATACGTGGTGGTAGCTCAGAGGTTTTCTTTGAAATTGGAGAACCATTAGAATTCAAGCCTTCAAAGAAGAGTGAGGCGTGTTCATTGGACTCGACCCGGTTCGTCTCTGCATCTCGTGGTGTAAAAGGTCGCAGCTTCTTCCATTCTACAAATCCATTTGTGAAGAAAGTGATGACAAATGGTGATTCTGAGCCTCATGACAAAGTTTTGTCTGCAGATGTTTCAACCTTAGCATCTGTAACGCTACCTGTTTCCGGGTTCGTAGAGTCTCTTTCTGCAAGCCAGATCGAGCTCTCCGAGGATTATACTCGTGTAATATCCCATGGTGCCAATCCAAAATCCACTCACATTTTTGGTGACTGCATTTTAGAATGTCACTCTAATGATTTGAACAACTTGAACAAGAAGGAGATGAATGAGATAGGATCTCCTCTCTCAGTTCGAAGCAGCCTGGACAATCCTTCTCCATGTCAACCAATTGATTTTCTGAGTTTTTGTTACTTTTGCAACAAAAAACTTGAAAGTGGGAAAGACATATACATATACAGGTTTGTCACAACCACATTATGCAGTGGCTTCATTATCTCTGCTTGAAACATTGTCGAATGTTTTTTTTCACATAAAAAACTAAACACCCTTTGTTTCGATAGGGGCGAGAAAGCGTTTTGCAGCGCTGACTGTCGCCATCAGGAGATTGTGAATGAAGAAGAATTCGAGAAGCCTGTCTGTGAAATCTTCGAACATTCTTCAACATCCAGAGATGGCAAAGAAGAGTTTGAAACTCATGGCACCATTTTTGAATAAACAGGTTGGTGTCCTCCACAGCCACAGTGCCAATCGACAAATGCTGTTCGGTCGTCTGTTAACAGAAGAGCTGTTGTTATGGCAGCCATGGATGATCCTGTACATTGATGATGCATTTGTTTGATTTGCATTTCTTCACTGTCAGGGTATGTTTTTCATCTTTTTTTCCTTCTGAAATTCTCATAAATTTGGCAATTTTATTGTCAAGCCCAGCTAGTATGGCCTTGTAGAAGAGTTCATAGGGTAGAAGCCTCTGCTTTCATGGCTCCCCCATATTCTAATTTTCTGGCTTTGTATCTTTTTAATGGCCAGATATGATAAAACACTTTGAAGCACTGAGCATCATATTTCTTTTCCCTCCAAATTAAACCACAAATAGAATACTCTTCCAAATTGTTGGTCACCTTGGTGGATCATATGTTCTCTGAAAATTAGAAAAGAATTTAGTGCCTGATGTTATAACATAAACATAAACATAAACAACCATTCATGTTTTTCCATTTTTTCCAAAAAGTGCCTTCTTCCTTCCTTCTATAATGGCACCATCAAGTTGCCTTCTACTTGCTAAACTTTGAACTTATTTTGTTCTTGAATTTAAGGATAGATTTGATTACACTTTTTAAAATCTTTGAAATCTATTAAACGGTAGCTCAACGTATCTTCGTAGAACAAGAACTACGAGATTGCCCCTTTCATTCTACCCATAACTAGTTTGAGACTTTCAACCTACTTTTCTTTTCATAACTTTCATGATGTTTTTATTATAATTTAGTAAAAAGGTAAAATAAAATATTTTGAAATTTCAAAAACACTTGGATGGGGTTTTAGAAAAAGAAAAACCCATTAAGAGTAATACTCAAATAAAGAGGGAAAAATCATAATTCACTTAAAAAAAGCACTTTTTTGAAAATTATTTGGAACTAGTCCCCATTTATCTTATAGTTTGCGATTTAATCCATGGATTTTGGGTATATTTCTTTTTCATATATATATATATATATTTTTTCTTTTTATGGTGTTGGTGTTGTCTCTTTCTGAGGTGCTTTCTTGTTTTCTCTATGTTTTTCATTTTACTGTTGATTTTTGCCATTCCCTTTTTGTAAAGGTGAGAAAATTAATGAAAATGAAAAGGAAACCACTTTTGTTTTTTTTTTTTTTTTTTCCTTTTTCGCGCTGCATAATTTGTATTATTATTATTATTTTTCCCTAGAAGTTTATTTTTTTACAATATTTTATTAGGGGCTTTGTTTTTTAATTACTGCAAATAATCCCTTGATTACCTCCAAAACTATTCCTGCAATAGAAAATTCCAAAACGTCCGTTATAGGATTTTCATTGTTGTTTTATTCCTTTTTTTTAATATTAAATTATTACTAAATCCAAATGGCTTCATTAATTTTTTACACTTTTGCTTGCTTTTTCCCCCCTTGATTTTAATATTTTGAGTATATTCTTAACGTCGTTAGTCCTGAAACGATATAATAGTCATTAAGAAAAGCATATTAAAATTATGAAACGATATAATAGTCATTAAGAAAAGCATATTAAAATTAAGAATATCGAGAGTACGTCGACCTTGACCCTCAAACTATAACAGTTTACTTTACTTACTTTCGATATTCCTATGGAACGTGTTTCGAGTCTCAAACCCGGGTTACTTTTGGAGGTAAAGAAAGGGGAACATCCAATCATGGTTGAAGGTGGAAAAGCAAAAATGATGAAGCAAAACTTTACTTGGGAAGGAAAGAGATTGTTTGTGGAGTGGAAACATGGAAGAGGGGAAAGAAGAAAGTGAGAAGGTTAGGCTTTTGTTGCTTTGGTCCCCTTTTCCAAATACCTTCCATTTGCATGTGCTCTCATCATTGCCCTTCCTATTCAACCACATTACCCTTTTCTTTTGGCCATTTTACTTTTGAGATTCCTCAACAAAAGCTTGGACAAATTATTAAGCTTGCAAAGGAGATATCAATCCATCGCATATATTACCCAAAACTTGACCTCATTCATGAATACGACCCCTTGAATTGAAACATGACATGGAACTTCAAGTCAAGTTCTTGGATTAATTCGAACTTGAATTGGATCGAACCGAGAACTATCTTTCAAGCTTCTTAAAGAGTTCTCACCTCGATTCGTTGATTCGTTGATTCGTCGGTCGTTTTAGTTATACGTTAGGTCATAAATCATCACGGAAAGCCAAATCAAATGCAATGCAATATTTTCATACTAGCGCGAGGGGGCAAATACAACAATACAGACACCAATAAATAGAATGATGTAGAAAGAAAGAGGTAGAACACAACATCTCAACCAACTAAAGGGAAAAAGAAAAAAAAAAAAGGTGCGATGTTGTTGATTTCCTGAAGCAAAAGCAAAGGAAGCTGCAGAATACGTCGTCATCTTCTCCATCGCTCGAGAATGACGTGTGGCTTGAAGGTTCTTCAGGAGTCGCAGCATGGAAACGGGAGCTTAGATAGCTGGAGATGGAAGCATTTCAGGGCTGCAGGACGATACGATGTGGCCTTCATATCCACATCTCTAGCCTCAGGTCTGTCTGGTGTTGTAGGACTTGCAATTCAAGCACTTTTGGGCCACAATATGATACTGCACATTCGACGTCTTACCGCAATCGTTGCAAAGAATCCAAACCTGTTCGAGTTGTAAAGTTCGTAAGCTTGGAGGATTAAAAGCTTACACCCAAAGGTTATAATATATTCATACATTCTTAACACTCTATCCATATACACTATTCTTAACACTTAATCCATATACACGCTTGCGAGATTATTTTGGTTCAAAACTACATAACAACAGCCTTATGAACACATAAGACTTAGTTTCTACGGCGATATTATATTAAACTACCAATAAATAGCATCAGCAGATACGCTCTAATATAAATATTACCTATTAATGAAAAGAAAGTCGAAGTAAAAGTGAGGTGGAAGCTTTACCATTTTGTTCTGGTACGGCTCTGGAATGGGCGTGGCTGCAATTTCCCTGTCAAATTTTTCCCACACCTTGGACATATCACAAACGGACTTGGAGCAGAGAGGGCAAGCAAATCTGTGGCAGAATCAATGTTATCAGAAAACTAAGTTCCACAAGTAAACAAGAACTCTGTATGAACACTTACTGAAAGTGGTCTCTCATCTCCTTCAAGCAATTATGATGGATGGTGTGTCCACATGGCATTACCGTAACGTCATTGGTCGAATCAAATAGAAACTGCAATCCATTTGTTAAAGATGCGCATCATTACTTAAGTGTAAGAATAGATAGCAAATGAAGAAGGGAAATGAGGGGAAAGCTTTACCTCAAAGCAAACAGGACAGTCATGGTGCATTGCTCCTTCAACGCAGGGATGGCTATTTTTTAAAATAATTGAATAGCAGCAACCTTCACGACAAGATTATATAAAAATCAGCATACACATTTGATACAACTTTAATCAGTCCATTAGCAGGATGCATCAGACAATCACGAATGACTTACCACACTTGTAGCAGTGAAAAAAGTTATGGCGCCCCCCAATTCTGTCAAAACGTTCAAAATGGCATCAAATATTTGTGAGGACATAGGTAAAACTCCAAAGAAAACACATACAATACAACCAAGTTTTTGGTTTTCATGTAAACATATGGAAACAGAGCAATATTATTCGATTAAGATAAATGGATTAGGATATCATACCTACAAATTCCACAGCCATTACAGTGATACTGCTTCTTAGATATCTACAAGAAAGAAAACAAATACCAAAATAAATATAAATAAGGTGGTATGAAATAAAACCAAGTGGATTAAAAAAAATTGACTTCGTTAGTGCATAAGAAAAGAGAGGTGTATACAAAATGGAAAACTGTGAATTGGTGCACGATATGGGAAACCAAGTGGGATGCCCAGTACTTACATCATCATCAAACAGCTTGCAAGCATCACAGAAATATTTCCCAAAGCACACACCGCAATTGATACATTCTTGGCGAACCTGTCGAATCAGAAACCAACAAAAATGTGAATCTAGAGCAAATGAGCACGAGAATTACTAACCAATTATACAAAATTTAAATAGAAAGATTAAGCACACACCTCCTGTTCAGTTCCACAAAGTGAGCATATAACCTGAGAAAACAAAAGTATAGGTAAATTTGAACAGATACTTCAACTCAGAGAAACTTCTGACTAGGTGAAGAGGTTGAACAAGGTGGATAAGTGACAAGTGGGTAACTTTACCTGGTTGACTTCATGGCGTGGGATCTCATGTCTTTCTTTCTGATCAACAGAAATACTATTCTGCAAGAGGAAATTAAAAAAGAAAAGGTTTATGAGTCAACTATATGGTATGATGCTCAGAACCAGATCTAAGATCACGCTCAAAATGTAGTTTCTTGCCTTTATTTCATTATGGCAATGACGGCAATCAAAAATTTCATTACAACAGGGAGCTCTGATGCGGCACCTTCGCCTATAATGTGCACATCTGCAAAATGAAATGTTGTGTGTTTAGGAATTGTACAAGAAAGACCTGAAACAGGGATAGAAAGCAAATTCTCAAGGACTTTACCCATATTGCATGTACCCCATCTCCATCAACTCTTGGGGGTCATTTGACTTTTCAAAGGGCAAAGCCTGAGAATCAAACTGCTCAGTTCTTGTCTCCTTTCCTCTGCATGTCATTTGTTGATTTCCTTCTGTCCCAATCTGTTGAGGCTCGGAGTAAGTTGCAACCTCTGCCATGGAAATATAATATCCTCCAATGCAAGACAATGGTTGAATCTGGGTAGAAGCTTAAAGCACCTGCATATAGGAATAAATTCAGCAATCATCCTAAAGCCAGAAAAGGCATGTTAATCACCGTCAAAAAGGCCATGACATTGTTGCTCTCTTCTATACAGCTGCAGACCACAGCACATCAGCAACAAATAATCCATGGAACGTTGTACAGCTCCAATCATCATAACTCCAAGAGGAGAGTTCAGTTCATCCAAAAAAGAAGAGTTATAGGAGACCCATATAATAACTACAACGCAGCACTGGGGAACCCCAGAGCCTCCAGCTTTGAATAGTGACCAATTGCAGATCATGATCACTTGATTTGTTGAAGACTCCGGATGCAATTCCCACTAAACTGGGTCAACCAGATGCATCAACCTATGGTAAAAGCAACACATACCCAATCAAATGTGTTCCAAAAATAACAAAAAAAAGAAAAAAAAAGAAAAAAAAAAGCAAAGTATTTAATGGTTCTACTCGCTTAATTGTCCAAAAGGACATGCCTACCTCAAATTGAAAATCCGCGTTCAGTTTCCGTCAAGAACCCAACTTACCCATCTATTATTTTCTCTGTGAAAGCCAATAGATTTTCCTTCATCATATGGTATTTTGCAATCATCCGGTTCCTCCGTTCCCATAATACTGAGAACCAAACAACCAAGAAGAAGACAACTATTTTCCCAGATTAGCAAAAAGGTTTGTTTTTTTTTTTCCCCCTTTTTTTTTACTCTTCTTGAAGGCGGCCATGGCCAGCAACTGTCTGAATAATGAAAATTGTTCCGGAGGGCAAGGTGCAAGAGGAAGCTCTATTCATTGAAGAGAGATGGAGAATTGATAAAATGAGGGGGAACTGAACTTTAAGCTTCTAAGGTGAACAACTCAATCTGCGTAGCTGATCTTACAATTGGAGGAATAGATTATGTGCCCAAGGCTATCCAGCCAACCAAATATAACGCCCATAACTGCACCTACAGCTCTGGCAATCTCGCTAGCAGAGAGCCACCTATAACTCTTATGGTCTCTGAGAGTCTGAGGATAATCAGGACTTCATCGGGAACACGTAGAAGAAGCACAAACACGTCCAGAACTCCAAAGATGCTACTCATACTCCAACGTCAAGTTTTCGAAAGGTTGCAGACAAGAATCCAACATCAAACACCACTCAGAAGCATCTATCTAAACTTCATTTGTACTTAGTTATAATAACTCGTCCAAGTCCACTGCAAAAGGGTGAAGTACGTCGATGGGACGGTGTGGCTACCATCCCAGCTCCCTACTGCTCCTCATAATTAGATTTTTAAAATAAAAATAAACAAATAAATAAAAAGATCGTAGATTATATCACAAGCCCGGCAAAGATTGTGGCTAGGGTTTTTACAAGGTATCACCAGCGACCAAGTTGGGAGAAAGCCAGAGAATCCTGAATATTTGGTAAAGAACATCCAAATAAATAAACCACAGCTTGCTTCGTTTTGGACATCATCTCGCGTACTCAAGTAGTAGACCCTATGATTCTGTACAATTATCAAACAAAAACCACCATTCGCGTGTTCAACATGTAATTTAAAGCACCAATAGAGGGGTGAATGCCAAAATGTCACCACTGAATCTAAAACTTCTCTGACCTGACTTCCCACCCATCAAACCATGCAACAAACCATTTCGATTGAAATTCAACATCATAGGAACAGCTTCCATGAATATTATACTACGTAGCAATGAGCTTTAAGAAACGTGTCTTACGTTTTTGGGGTGGAGGGTCAAGGGGGAGACTCAAAAAGGCTGCAAAATAGATACTATCTCCCTAACTAAGAAGATAAGCATCTTAAACATAACACTTAAAAAATGGAAGACGAAGTCAAGACCTCAAAATTATGATCAAGGATGTAACATCCATTCATGAGCATTACTCAGTTCAACAACTTCAAGAACGGACGTCAAAGTCTTCAATACTGCAGGAGGCAAGGAATTTTAACAGACATCTAGCTCTTAGTTTCTATAAACAAAACCCTAACCGAAAAGCATTTCAACACACAATCAAAATGTACTCAAGAAATACAAAAACTTCAGACCAAGATACATCATCAAATCGAAACATCGCTCAATTCATCAACTTTAGCAACACCTAGCTGCAAGAGAAACCTCAGACAAAACTAGGGAACGAACATCCCCAGAGCCATTAATCGCAGAGAACCAAACAGCCTAGTACGACCCAAAAAATTGCAAGGATAATTTTGACTTCATTATCGCAAGAAAGAAAAATTATAGAAAATTTGGGACCATATACCTCCACAATTGTAGTTGCAGAGGGAACAAGAACACAATCGAGAACCACTCACAACAAGTCGAACTAAACCAGAAGGTATAAGATCCCAAATCCCCATCTATTTCGCGATAAAATCATCAAAGAAACCAAACAAAAAATTCAAGCCAGAAAGCAAATGCACAACACATTTGCCGAAGAAAGAAGACAAGATAAAACTAAAATCCAACCGTTCCACCAAAAGATGATCAAAAACAAGAATTACGAACTACAGAAAAACCACAGAAAATTGTCTAAATAGAATAACGAACTTCGTTCAGTCGGCGAACACACAAGCTTGCAGATGCGAACCCGAATACCAAAAACAGCTACAAAAAGAGATCCAACACAAAAATCGAAGCACCAAACAGCCGAGAAACTCAATGAGTTCCAAGAACCAGATGAGAAATGAGGACGAGAAAGACGAGAATCCGAAGGTGTGTGAGGTACAGTTCAAAGAGAAACGGTATTTATAGTAAAGGCGAGGGCGCGGTTTCCAGAGGCTTCGCAACGCGCGTTTCTCAAAGAACGACAGCGATACTGTGAAGCTTCGGGTGTCGCCATCCCTTATGGCCAGCGCATGAATTTCCTCTTCTACCCCTCTCTTTTGAATTATCTTCAATACTGCATTTTTTTTTTTTTATAAATTTAATATGCCATAAATTTTTAACTCACAATAATTTTTTAAAAAAGAAAAAAATAATTAACTTATTAGATATAAATTTAAATTTTATGTTCATATAGCCTTAAATTTTAATTTTTTTGTTTAATAAATTTTTAAATTTTAAAAAATATAATAATTCAATTACTAAATTTTTAGTTATTTTAGCTAATTTTTCCTTTTGGAGCAAGTTTTATAGGTGTGTTTGAATGTGTGTGTTTTTTTGGACCAAATTTATAGCTGTAAAGAACAAAAGCCATACTTCTCAAAGATTCCGATGCTTCTACAGCAATACAATTTTCTTTATTTCATACTAATTTTATGGATTTTTAAAAATACTAAAAAAAAAAAAGGTAAATATATAAATATTTTTTTTCAAATATATATACAAATATATAAATGACACTGAAATTTATGTTTATAATTTCCATTAGTGACAAAAAAAATTAATTCGTAATTTATTTCACCATTGAGTAAATTAGTTTTATTTCCCAAGAAGATCGAATTTTCCAATTTCTTTTAGGAATTATTCAAAATTGGCGGAAGATTCTAAAATTATCCTTTTGAAATTAAATAAATTTGAAAAATATAGATGGTACAATCAAATAAGTACGAAAGCTTTTATTTATTTATTTTTTTTAATTTATTACAAAAAATCAAAATTGGAAAATAAAATAGGACATAATCAATTAGAACACTAATATGATATTGTTGAATTTTTTTTTTTTAATCTTTCAATAATATGATTTTGTAAAAATGTAAAAAAATTAATTTAAAAATTAGATGAATAAAATAAAATAAAAAAAATAAAAATCAACGGTAAGGGAGGAAAAACCAAAAGAGAGGGAATCTATGTAAATAAGAACATAGATGAATGGATTACAGTTGTAATTTATTTGTTTTTTTTTTTTTTTCGAAAATTTAAAATTGTCGGTTATCTTGAAGCGTGTTTGATTCTAGAAGCCAAACACCAGGTCACGGAGATTCAGTTTGGACGGTTCAGATTTAAAGTGACGGGTGGAGTGGGAAGTGAAGCGTCGTTTTTTGTGTGCCACGTGTCAAGATGAAAATTATAAAAGAAATGACGTGGACGGATGACCGTGAATATAATAATAATAATAATAATAAAGAGTTTTGGATAAGTGTTTGGGGGGGAAAAACCAGGAGGAAGGTGTCTCACGTAATCATGAGTTTTATTTTATTTTATTTTATTTTTAACAAACTATTTTGATGTTTATCGGAACAGACAAGGAAGAAAAGAATGGGATGGGGATGGGACTCATCTTTGCCACGTCTATATTTGTTTTTATTTTTAATAAATTATTAATTAAATATATAATCTAACCCTAATCATGCCATTTTTTAACTCAAAAGGTTATTAATCTAATTTACATTATTATTTGTTTTGTCCTTAGTTCAAAATTGAACTGATATTATTCTCGTGCGACATGACATGACACGACTATATTATTTATTTGCTGTTGTTTCTAAGAGTTGTTTCAACATATTTCTTCATCATTTCCAAGACGGAAAATTATTATCCCCACAAATTCGAATCCTTTCAACGTTCTTCCTAGAAAAAATATCAAGAGATCACTCAATATAACATTGCTCCAAACTGAACACGCTTAACTAAGATTCTTGTGGTTGAGCCACCAAAAAGAAATATGCATCTTTTGGCATAGATAGAAATTTAATTCTTTTTTAGTCTTACTCAACAACTATATTATAATAGCCTAAGCAATCGTTAGCAGATATTGTTCGTTTTAGTCTGTTACGTATTGTCGTCAGCCTCATAATTTTAGAACGTCTCTGCTAAAGAGATGTTACTGTACCCTTATAAGGAATGTTTCATCCCCTCTCCAACCGATATGGGATCTCATAATCCACCCCCCTTAGGGGCCAACATCGCTAACACACCGCCCAGTGACTAGCTCTAATACCATTGTAACGGTCCAAGCCCATGTCCGTTTTGGCCCGTTATGTATCATCGTCAACCTCATGATTTTACAATGTGTTTACTAGGATAAGGTTTTACAGCCTTATAAGTAATGTTTCGTTCCTCTTTCTAATCGACATGGGATCTCGTACATATACATACTCAAGATCACTCTCATTTCAATATTGTCTCGTTCATTCAAATGGACTCCAGTTGAGGGGTTAAAAAATGATCTTGCCCTTAAAAATGATTACTTCCTTTTGTAGACATGGGAGGAAGCTGGATAAGAGCAGCCACCCAGACTAGTAGAAGCCCACTCAGCCATCACTATACTAGCCCCAGTGCACAACATATGGATACGATAAGGATACCGAACCCAGTTTTAATGTCATTTTCAAAGCAAAAAATGGAATAAAACGTTCACATGTTTACACATATCACTTACATTGTGACGAGCCATGGACGTGGGTGTGCACGAATAATCCAAAAAGATGCACACCTTTTTCATCGATTCTTTGTGCTCTCTTGAGTACAAGAACTAAATCTATGGGAAGATTTGGGGAAATTTTGGATTCCATAAAAAGTGGATAATTTTCTTTTTTTAATTCCAGGGGAAACTAACCCAATACTTCATCTTTCCTTTTTCGGCTGATAACGACTAGTCTTCACAACCTAATAGATTTCATCCTTATTTACAACAAAATTCAGTAAATGCGCTCAAACTACGGGTCTGTTTCGGTCTGTTTTGGTCGTTTATGATAAATATTTGTTTAGTAGTTTTTAAAAATTATATTTGTTCTCTTTTAATGTCTTTATCTTTCGTCGAAGGTGTGAAAACCTCTTTCTATTAGATGCATTTTAAAAGCCGTGAGGTTGGCGATGATACGTAACGAGCTAAAACGGACAATATCTACTAAAGGTGGACTTAAGCTAGGCTATTACAAATGGTATCATAGCTGGACACTGAGCGGTCGGCTGGTGAGGACTCTGGGCTTTCAAGGGGGTGGATTGTGAGATCTGACATTGGTTAGAGAGGAAACAAAACATTTCTTAGTAGGGTATGGAAACCTCTCCCTAGTAAACACAACATCATATAACGAGTCAAAACGGACAATATCTATTTATAGCCAGAAGAATTCTCAAAACCCCAAGAGATTTGAATTCCAAAATATCAATAAATTGAAAACAAAATGAAAAGAAGGAATAGAATGAATGCAAGTTTAGGATAGAAGAATCAACAGATTGTAAGCAAAGGGATTTTGGGATCAAATCGCCACACCAGAAAGTTGTTGAGATAAGCAGAAAAGATGGATGGTAAAAATTGAAGCAAAAAGAAGGGGCGTAAAGAGTAGGAATATTCTTAGGAAATATCACAGCAACAAAAGGTGGCTAAAGGACACGAGGAAGCAAGTTAAGCCAACTGTCCTACTATTCTCAGCCATGAGGAACGGTTAAAAATCTCCAAAAACGTTAAAGAACTGTGGGGCCCTCCACTCACATCCCATCCATAAATAGTATCTTCTTCAGTTACACAAGGTGATTCAAACTAGCAACATATTATGATGGTAAAGTTTTTTACTTTTTCTTTTGACCACAGATTCGGATTAGGTTGAGGTAAAACCAATCCGATATAAGATAAAATATCAATTACTATTCTAAAAGTCAGTCAATCTTGGAGCACTAATCTATAATGTTGGAAAAAAAAACTACTCATGATAAACCTTATCAATCTCTAAGAAATCAACAAGATATTAATAATAATGATGACAATGATGACGGAATAATTCAGATAATATTGGTTTGGGTATCTATCATTAATAAATTGAAATGATATGAGATTCATTAAGATCAAAAGAATCAGTAGAATAGAAAGAAGTCACTGACCTGAAAAAGATGTTGCCACAGTGACACGTATGCTTTAACATCCAGCGTCCTTCAACTGCAATGCGTTTCCCTCACGATCGTCTCTTAGTACCCTGCAAAATTTGAGCATGCCACCTATACAAGAAGAATGAAACTTTAAGTGATAGCAGTGACTTTGACTGAACCCTTAATCATGCCATAAGAGATCAAACATAGGGTGGTTTTTGTAACCTTAAGTTTCACTTTTCTATATCAAAATCTAGAGGTTTGGCTTTAACCGGAAGAAAATTAAGATATGGAATGTAACAGCCTAAAACGCATCTGCTAAGGAGAGATTTATACACCCTTATAACGAATGTTTCGTTCCTCTGTCTCTCCAATATGGGATCTCACAATATACCCCCCTTCGAGATCCAATGTCCTCGCTGGCACTTGTTACTCTCTCCAATCAATGTGGGATCTAACAATCCGCACACTTAACTGTAGAGTTTTGATGAGATCCGATGCATTAGTACTAGTATGTTTATAAGGGTGTGAAAACTTTTCCTTAGCAGACGCGTTTTAAAAAAAAGTCCAAAAAAAACAATATCGGTTAGCGGTGGGCTTGAACTACCTTTTTGATGCATAGAATATGGCTTTTTCGTAAGATTTGGGACCAGTAGGCTACATATTTGATATCAATTAGGTGGGCTTTAAGTGCATAAATCTTTGCACTATTTCTTCATGCTTTCCCAAAAGCTAAGTTCAGTCCCCCACTTGGTTTTTTCAGCTTCATAAATCTTCTTTTCCTTGACAGCCCCTTCCTCTCCCTAGCTAAGAAGCAAGGAAAAGAGAAGGCACTAGTAAATTCTTTCACTTTTCCAGCATAAAAATTTCAGGAATATTTTCTCAACTGTGATATGAAATGAATTTTTTTTACCATTCATTACCACCTTTCTCACGCTTGTTTGCCTCATCGTAGCTCAAAAATTATCCTTCATAAACAAAGCGAGCTTGCAGGTTCACAGTCTGAGCACTTGCCCTATAAGCTTGGAGAAAAGCCATTATCTCAAACCTGCTAAACATAACTGCCAATTGGGTAGGATGCAATATGTGCTACTGTACAGGTGCGTATGCTTCAAAGCTCTTGATGGCCCTTAAATCCTATATGTTGAGGGCATTGATCTAAACCATGGAAACATTACTGGATATCTTCCTGAAGAGCTACACCTTCTATCTGATATGCCATTTTCCACAATTTTTAAATCAGTTTTGCTATCAAGTTCTAAACAGTTTCCAAAAACAACTGGTTTGCAGGGAAATTTCCTCGTGATGTTCTAAATTTCCCAAGTCATAAATATCTTGGCCTTCAGTTCAATGAGTTTGAAGGTGAGTACGCCAATTTCTTTTTTGACAAAGAACTCCATTACAATTTTTATCCACCATAATCGATTTGCCTTCGTACTGCCTGATTATTTAAATTCTCACCAGTTTCTGTGATTGTTCTTGCCAAAAAGTTTCGTGGATGTCTTGCCATGTCAAGTACACCGAGTGAAGAAACCGCAATGAACAATAGTATCTAATGAAAGCGTTTCTTTATAATCTTGGCCATCAGTTTCCAAAGTCCCATGGGAAAATGCCGAGCTTGGAAACGCTCAATGTGACACATAATAACCTGTCTGCAAGCTTCTCAAGCTGCAGAAATTTAGTATACAATACGAACTTTTCACTGGGCAAGCCGCAGGAATTGTTTGTGAGCTAAGCCAAAGCAATCAACTTTGCAATGTAAAGTATTTCTGTCCAGGCCTGTTGATCACAATTTCTTGTAAACCGCTTGCAGCACCTTTGCCTTCATCTTCACCATCTCCTTCCCCACTCGTTAGGAATCACGAACCTCCAAAAGGCCTCATACAATGGTATGATATTGTCCACTTTGAGCATAAATTTTCGTGGCTTTGTTTTTGGTTTCTCCAAAAGCCTCGTACCAATGGAAATCTATTCCTTACTTATAAACCCATGATCAACCTCTTAACCAATGTGAGACTACCTTTCCACAATCCTCAACACCATCATCACCTCCATAACTTCAATATTGCCGTCACCGCCATCAGTATCACATTACCATCCCTACCTCTAGCAAAAGTGAGACAGCTTTAATGCAAAACCAAATGTGGACCTGTAAACAGTAAACAGAAATTTCAATGGCAACATGATATATGTCTACCACTGATTCATAAAGAAAAGTTGTTGATTGCCTCTCTACGTTTCCTCACCTCATCAACAGAGTGGCCATCCTTCAGACCCTATCAGCTGCATTTCATCCATCTGAAACTCTCAGATCCTTGCAAACGTAGAACTCACATTATGGCTAAGCCTTTTCTACCAGCCCATATCTGATAGAACAAACAAAATTATTCATAGTTTTTATGACAAAAGTTAAATAAATAGTTACTAAACAACGAAACTGATACAAAACTTGCATTGAAAATTTCAGGATCAGAGAAGAGAACATTATCTTCCATCTGGGAATCAGTATCAAGATGTAAAAGCTGGAGTAAGCCACCATCTGACAAATCCTTCAAGCCTTTTGCTTCTTGTTGTATGTCAGTAAATGTAATCAATGGTAAAAAATAACAGGGTTGTGCTGACAGTTTGTCCCATGATCCTGATAAACTTGAGAAGGCAACAATGGTCTGGCAGCTTGCTGCCTTTTACATATCAGTGAGACCTTGATGATATGTTTACAGAGATTTCCCATCCTTGACCAAGAACAATCACATAAAGAGAACTCTGAACCAGGATCCCAAATTGTATATTCCAGATTTCTTTTTGACTGAGATATTACTTTTGCAAACTGAAGATTCGACTCATCTAGCATAACATCTACATCTGGGATGTGTAATGCCTTGTTCCATGCATTAGTTAGGATGGATTTATCTCTGAAATTCCCAAAGTATCCGTTCTCTAGACAGTATTGGTCTAACCAATATGAGGAGTGAAACTGAGTTGTAAGAGTGTGGACCAGCCAGTCAACTCTTGACAAGGAACTATTGTTTTGCTCTTTGAAAAGCTTGGATTTTAATCTAATGTGGTATGATTCAATCGCCGCATTGGCCTCCAAAGTGGAAACAGGTAGCGACCGTATACTGTTTATCCACAATTCTACAAGACATGAAACCATGTAAGATCAATAATTCAGGATGAGAACGAGGCATATCCAAAATCACCTAAACAACATCCGTCGCTTAAATAACTATTTTTAAGACGATCACATTAGCATGAGGCTTACAAGTGTTAACATCAATCATAAATATTTTGATATCAAAGATTAAATTACAGCATGCATATTTATAAGGTAAAACTAAAATGAAAGTGAATTACATGGAATAACTAAAATAAAAATAAATTACTAAAAGATGATAGTCATGGTGTTGCAATAACCAACTTCAATAAGAAACTACCTATGTCAGGCAACCACGTATTCGTAAGATAATCAACAAAAGCACACTGATCAGCAAATATTTCCTTAAACTGCTCCATTGCATCTGCAAAACATAACCCAATCCTTGTGCAATACAAAACTTTCCCTAATTTCTTAAGCATCTTTCTTTGTACATCCAAATTAGAACACTTCTTAAGAAGATTCCTCATCCAATTGCGACGAACATGCCATATGCATAATAGAACCCGACACTGAAAAGCCTCCCTGCAAATAACCATGACATCAACGCTCAGACATGATTGTTTAAACAGTTGAACCTATATATAAGGAAAATCCAGAATTAACCTTATAATAGAAACCTCAAAAGAAGGATTGTCTAATAAAAAGGAACCAATTCTCCATTTGGGATCCTTCGCACGAAGTCTTTCAGCTAGCAATCCAAGCCATTTACGAATGTCTTGATCAGAAAAAGAGGATGCAATGATCCAAGCAACGGGAATGGCGTTTTGGGATGAGTCAAAAACAAGTAAACTACACAGTGGAAGCTGCCATGAGATGTTTAAAAAATTATGGATAATGTAATGCTATTTCTATTCAAGCATGAGACAGCAACTTAAAAAACCTACCGCATCACTTTCTTATCATATCATGCAGGCTCTGTAAGCCAATAAGTCATAATTCATAATAGTCAATTAATTCATCAAGCCAATAAGGAATAGAAACATCTAGCACACGGAGAGCAAGAGAAGGCATCTCACAATTCATAATGACATGACATAATCGAAATAAAAAGTACCCGTAGTTTCTTTGATCCAAATGTTGAATGGGAAGCAACAGAGCCATTACGACCATAACGCAACATCTGTTGTAGCTGCCAATCTGTCTGTATGCCCAAGACAAAAGGCTCACAATCACTACGCTCTTGAAAGAAGAAAATGATTTTCTTATTTCGTTGCACCCATATCTTCACACTACAATCATCATTTGGATGAAGCTCATGTGAAGAATTACGAATAGCTCTTTCCATGTTACGGACATCACTACGAGAAAGAAAATCATCACGAGTTCGGGGTCCCCCTTGCCTCTGTACAACCTCTGTATGGTGCTGAACAATATTGTCTATAGATATTCCTTCATACAGCATGGACATAATCTTTTGACGTAATTCCGCTGAAATTCTTAGCGCATACATAGCTCTTGTCCCAACAGCATCATGGTCAAGTATCCCATGGCAAGGAGCTCCTGACTTATCAATATGCTTTCTTTGGTTATAGATGATGAGAGCAAGATGTGGCTGTGTATATAAGCGCTTAACAGTAAAGTGGCAGAGGCAACCTCTCATCATGTGACGTCTTCCTGGTCTGCTGCTCCTCCCAGATGCAGGTTTGATGATTGAGCTACGCCTAACACCAACGTCACTTGCTCGGTAATCTTCTGGACCATAAGAACACCAATACCTGATCATATTACATTTAAGTATAAGGTCAGGCACTTAAATAAAATAAAGTATTGCAGCTAGCTTTATCCAAATAATTGTTGGAGATCATCATTGTCATAATATTCTGTTCCCATGTAATTATCCACTTCTTTTGATGTTTTACAGATTAATTGCATGGGAAACATTATCTTCAGACACATCAAAAGAAGTGGATAATTAAAAAACAACATACAATATATATTCGAGATAACCATCGACCCTTGGTTTGCTGACACTCCCTGCAGTTCTTTTCCTTCTTGATTCAATGCGAAAGCGAGAAGGACATTCTGCATTGGAAGATTCTCCTTTTACGAAATCCTCAACTCTAGAAAATGGAACTAGAGCAATATCAGCACCACCTTGACGACCACCTTCTATTTTTTCCCACATGATATGAGCAGCAGAGAACTCCAAGCATGTTGGATCTTGCACCGGAAGTTTGAGAATGTCCTCCGTTCTCGGCATCTATGGTGCAAAATTAGAAAAGTCAATAATGACTCCAATTTCATACGAAGTCCTACAATAAGAAGCTGAATGACCCTTCTTTCTTCTTCAAAATCATAAAATAAAAACAGCAACAAGCAGCCAGGTTGTCTCTCTTTTCTGTATTTTTCTAAGGGATCCATGAAGGAATTAAACAAAGAAGGCATCCACTCTTGACTCTTACAAGTTCAGCTGCTTACTCTGTTTCATAGATCATTGACAAGAAGATAAAAAATAAAAAAAATAAAAGAGAAAATCCTGATTTTCTATCCCAATAAAAGTTCACGAAACTTATATCCAAAATTGATATTCCTGATCATCAAGACAGGCACGACACAAACATGAGTTACTGCAGAGACATCACAGTGAAAGACTGAAACAAAGGACTAGAGTCTATTGCAGCAACAAACGACACAAACATGGCACAGAAACGCTAGATCAAGCTCAACAAAGCCAATTTGATTGGAACAGAATATATTCCATGCGCTACAGTACGAAATCCAAAAAATTATATACTATTTTGAACAAAGCAACAGTTACAGTAAAGAAAGAGATGAACCAGGCACGAGTAGAAATACTAGATGAAGCTCAACAAAGCCAATTTGAGTCGAACAAATTATACTCCATCCGCTACACTATGAAATCCAAAAAAATTATATACTATTGTGAACAAAGCAGCAGTTACAGTAAGGATATAAAGAGAGAGAAAGAGAGATCAACCAGATGAGTTTCAAAAGGGAAAAACCACCTTATAATTTGTCGATTTAAGTGGACAGTGATGGCAGTCCAATTTTCCGATCGAAGTTTCGAAGTTCTGCCATTATCGATTAACTGAGCTGCTATGGTGATTGATCAGGCAGCGCTAGTAATCAAATCGCCTTCGATCACTCGAAATGTCTCCTTGAAGGCGAATTCTATGGCGGGAAAGGCGTCCAATATCTATAGTTTGATAGCCAGAGTAAATGGTGGTTGACAAAAATGGCCGTGTTTATCGGGAAAATAAGTGCGGTTTTTTTTTTTTTGCTTTTCCACTGAAGTTTCGGTTTAGTGGGCTGACGTTCCCGAACGAACTGCCGCCATTTTTTTCAGGGGCGACCCGCCACTACTTTTTTTCTTTTTTAAAGAATGTTTTTTTTGGGTTAAAATATAATTTTGGTTGTATAAATTTTATTTTTTTTTATATTTATATCATTTTAATTTTTATATTTTCAATAAACTTTAAAATTAATTATTAAAGATACTTGGTATTCTAAAAAAAATTATGAAAATATATTTACATGATATTTTTTTTACCTAAATAGGATAAAAATTAACTTTGAAATGCTAAATTTGAGATTTATTAAAAATATTAATACAAATTTTAAAATCTTTCAGCTCAATTTATATTTACAAGATTAATTTTCTATTATTATTGATATTTTTGCTGTTGAATTAATACTTGTATTTATTCTATTGTATTATATTATTTCATTAATAACAGGAAAAATTATAATTTATTATCGTAAAATTTGTCATTTCTTTATTCGTTTTATAATAATTTACAGGTGTAGATTTGATAGTGAGAAAGGCAAGGGCTGCGAGAATGATCGCGGAGAACAAGGCTCGAGAGACATCTATCTCAACAAATATTATCACCCCTATCCTCCGTAGGGGTATTTTAGTGATAGGTTATACAGGAACGGGACGATCCTATTTGATCAAATACTAGCGACAAACTCCTATCTTCCTTTAATTATAGTATTTATGAACAAGTTCTCGAAACCATAACACCATTATTTCACCGTTAAGTGGCACTATAATGAATTTTAGAATAAAATAATAATAATAATGTCTCTAAGCTTTCTTGTGGAAATTATCCCATAAAATATAATTTATAAAAAAAAATTACAGTGTTGTTACAGTTCATTCGACTGTCAATGAACAAAATTTCACACTCCATCGAGAGTGATATACATATGTTTTATTTTAAACTAAAAGCAAACTTTTGATTACAATAATCAAAATTTGTGAGAATTAAGGAAGGAAATGACCTGATAATGGGAGCCCACATGCTTACAGAAGTCTTATCCAAAGGGATTATTGTTGCGAAATGAAACAGCAGCAGCATTTGGATTTGAGTTGGGTGCTGAATATGTTCTACTCGGCTGCTGGAGCGTGGCATTGATGGAGCCTGAAGGACTTGCGAAGGAGGATCCTCCATACTTATCTACTCCTCCTGGTGGTCTGTACACAAAGATTAATTACTTTTTACCTTCATGGTTAAGATATGTTTAGGATCCGCGTTCAAATCCCTCAATTACGAGTATTGTTAGAACCTTAAAAGGTAATTGTAGAGTTCCGGAGTTCGAATCACTCAACTCTCAGTAATTATAGTTTTAAAACGTGTCTATTGGAAAGAGGTTTCTACGTCCTTACGAGGAATGTTTCGTTTCCCTCTCCAACTAATACGAGATCTCACGATCCACCCTCTTTTGGTACTGGAAAGAGGTTTCCATATCCTTGTGAGGAATGTTCTCTCCAACCAATATGAGATCTCACAATCTACCATATCCACCCTCTTTAGGGCCCAACATCCTCGTTGGCTCCCCTCTCCAACCAATGTGAGATCTCACAATCTACCTTCCTGGGGGCTCAACGTCCTCGTTGGCACACGGTCCAGTGTTTGATTCTTATACCATTTGTAACAGTCTAGTCCTCTTTAGAATTTTCTTTTTGGACTTCTCCATAAAGTTTTTAAAGCATCTACTAATCTACTAGGGAGAGGGAGGTTTGCATTTCCCTCTCCAAACACATGTAATTTGAATTTGAGATTCACGTAAACAGAACATACCTCAGAGATGGAATACTCCCATAGACCTGTTGCCCCGCGTGTGTACCTGAGATTTGTTTAGAGGAAAATGAGCCTCAGAAAGATTTGAAGGTGACTACGGTGAGTTTGAAGAGCATGAACGATCTTACCTGAATATTGGGTTTCCGGTTGGTCGCTATAACTCCGTGTTAAGCTAGCAAGAGCGGGCATGGTACTAGGAGCACTCTGCAAAGATGGCGCAGAAGGAAATAACATCACAATTTAAATAACAACAAATGACCCAACCTCAACTAGCAGATACCGTCTTCTTCAGACTTTCTCTTGTTTTCCCTCGAGATTTCCTCAACAATCCTTCCCTCGAACAAAGTATACTCACTATAAGTCTCCCCTTAATCGAGGCTCGACTCTTTTCTCTAGAGCCCTCGAACAACAAAGTATAACCTTTGTTCGACGTTTTTAGTCACTTTTGACTACATCTTCGAGGCGACAATTCTTTGTTCGATATTTGAGGATTCTATTGACGTAGCTAAGTTCAAGGCATGACTCTGATACCATATTAGGAATCACGACTCTCCACAATGGTATGATATTATCAACTTTGAGCATAAACTCTCATGGCTTTGCTTTGGGCTTCCCCAAAAGGTCTCATACCAATAGAGATAGTATTCCCCACTTATAAATCCATGATCTTCCACTAAAGTAACCAACGTGGGACTCACTCCTAATAATCCTCAACATTCCGGTCCAAAACTAAATTCTCTTCTCAAACAGAAATATTTGCAAAACTTGTCTGATACAAGTTCGAGGAACGGAGGATCAAGCAAAGAACACAGAGGCAAGCAGATTACCAGTAGACAAGACAAAGGGAAAGAGAGAAATCAGAGGTGAAATGTCTGACTATTGTTCTTACCTGTGGGTAAAATCTACTCTTTTCATCATCAAGATCAAATGGGTTCGTTGGTCTTGCAGCCTGCAAACATAGAAGATAGATTAACAATCTGTTATATACTTCTGGAAAGAACAGAAAAGAAAGTTACACGATACAACACCATGAATTTGTTTCATATACCAGTGAGGTAGGATAATACTGCAAGCTTTGACCCACGACACGTTCAGCTCCAGTCTGCCAACCTGGTTGTGAGGTGGGAACTTGAGGGTAGTTTACAGCAAAAAGGTCCTGCATACAAAAGTGTTAGAATCGCACAATAAAGTACACATTCGATCAAGATGAACACAAATAACAAGAGCACTTACTATATGATTTCAGTTTACTTTACCGATATAACCACCTACTATCTTTTTACCTTTACCTTGTTTATTATATATGACCATTTTCCATATATATTTTTACTATCTAAAAGAATTGAATGAGCTATAAATAGGCGAGCAAAAAGTATATATATCTTAAAAGAAAAACATCAGTAATGAATGAATCATATTTAAATCATTACCAGAGGAAGTTCCTTTCTTCCGCAAGAACTCTTTTCCGGAGATGGAGGTTGGGATCCAACTTCATTGGTGGTTCCCTGAGCTGGTTTTGAATCAGCAACTATCTTTGCAGCTGGAACACTTGAAAATCCTTGTGCATTTGATTCCAATGAAGTCCACTGCAGCAAACAGATGTAGCCGCAAAAGCAGCAATATGTTAAGAAAATTTAAGACAGAATTGAGCTTAATTTCTTCAGATCAGAAATTCACATCAAGCAACTCACTTCTAAATTTGGCACGGCAGCTGAAGTCATCAGTTGTCCATTTATGACTTTTATTGCAATATCACCACTCTTATTGGATGTGAGTTGGGGAGGGCTCCCAGCTACAGAAGCTTGAACGTTGATTGGTAGTGCTGTCTGCTCCACAGCAAAATCTGGTGTAAGAGTACTTCCAGAAACAGTTGCTGGCGCATGGCCATTTCCAGGTCCATCAGTCGGTTTATTATCAGCTCCAGTTGATGGTACTGATAATTCAAAAAGCAAAGCTTCCACACTATTTGCACTGGGGGCTGGTGATGTGTTCTTCGTTGAAGATGACTCAAAGGCGTTCCAGTTGTCATTGTTAGTTGAAGGCATATGTTGGGTCTGTGATGCGGCAGGACCATCAGGCTCATCAGAACTGATGCCAAGATCAATTAGGCTCTCTACGTTGTCTCTTTTAGCTTCCACGGGATTAACATGAACACCAATCTGGTAGCAGGAGGATGTAACATGATGGAAGAAGTCAATTTCAAAAAAGAAGTATAAGCTTATACTAATAGGTCCAGTTTCTGTGTAAAAAATATATATCTAGAAACTTAATCATGGCTTATTGTGTACAAGTAGAACAGCTAAATCTTACACTTGATCCAAAAAAATTGCATACAAAAACTCCAATACACAACTTAAAGCATGCCAAGTATTTAAACAAATAGAAGAACCCTATTCCATCATAATTTTGAGGAAAGACATAAGAATATTACTGCAAAAATTGACATTACAGAACTAATAATACACCTAATCAGAATGAACAAGAACACTCAAGTATCCAACAATTTTAGCTACAAACCTGATCAGAGCTACCAGCGTCCATCCCTTTTCTTACATCATCCTCAAGTCTACGGGCAGGTTCATTTTTGCCCATCGTAACTTTATTATGAAATGCAACTGCAAGAGAAGACTTCTCTAAATTTCCTTGACTACGACTAAACAGGATTACTGGCCTGGAATATCCATTTGAGAGCTTGCGAATTCGAAGTCCATCATCTTTGGTTCTGTCATCTACAACCTCAATGCGTGTGAGGCTTCTCCTATAGCCTCCATATCTGGAGTTTTCTTTTAAATACGAAGGACTGCTTCTCTCATCAGAGTAATAAATTGGACTCCTGTGTTCCCTCTTTGAACTAGATCTTGACATCTCAACTTGCAGGTTCTGAAATCCACCATAATATGGAGTAACCCTTCTCCTTTCTTGGGATGAGTCCTTGTCAGTCTGTAATATTTGAAAATTTCTGTCAACACGCCGATTTTATTGAGACTTTCCAGTACACAGAATTATTCGTCATCGTTGGTTTAAATCCAAAAATGCTTTATAGCGAAGAGAACCTTACATAAATGCAAAATGTAAAAAACGAGAGATGTTGAGGATTGTTGGGAGGGAGGAGAGGGAGTCTCATATTGGCTAATTTAGGGAATGATCATGAGTTTATAGGTAGGAATACATCTATATTGGTACGAGGCCTTTTGAAAAAGCTTGAAGCAAAGCTACAGTGGACAATGGGAGTCCAAATATATATTAAAAAGCTGCAGAGAAGAGGACTTGCACACATGAAAATATTTTCTCTATCATTGAGCTTAAAGGAAATAAAAGCATTTCAAATTCGTGAACACCGAGCATAGCAACAAGCAAAATGAATGTTAACCAAAGTGAGTAAACACATTAGAAGAGAACTTACAAGCCTCAACCTCGGGAGCTCATCAACACTTTTCTCACCCGCGTATTTCCTATCAACATAGACATGCTTGATGAAGTCCCGAAGTTGATGGAGATTGCTGCTTGAAAATATAGGAATTAGAGGAAATTTTATGGCAGTTACAGCATGTATAAATATATAATGAGTTCAATAACCTGTTTTCTGGGTAAGAATGTCGCAGGGGATCCCACGTTTTTAAATATATCTGCTGTGCTTTCTATATAATGACAGCTTAAAGTTAATAATGGATGAGAAAGAACAAGTGAACATCAAGGGAACTGCATCTGACCTCATTTCCCGCTGCCTGAAGAGCAGTCACCTCTTCTGCCGTGAATTTTGCCACTGACACTGACTTTACTCGGTGAGTGAACTCACGACTGCAAAGTCGTAAAATTGAACCAAGTATCTTTATTGCTCTAACTAAAAAAAATATCTCTTCAAATTCAGTTTATGTACATTCTTTATAAAAAAAAAGTTAAAAAGTTATACGGAACAGAGAATTTCCACATATGCAGATAACTAAACAGTCATTTTAATACTTACTGTACTCCACTACAATTTGTACAGACAAATGTCAAGAATGTTGTACAGACGTATTGCGGTCCCTGTTGGAGGATACATGTAAATGTAAAGGATAAGTGTCGTATATAAAATTCATAAATATGGACAGAAGGAAGGATTATGAATGAAATCAAATGCCTGAATCAATGAGTATCAATAGCCAACTCAATCATCAGGTATGGATAGTATGGAACCACATGTCCGTGGCCCATTAGACTCAAGTCGCAAATTCTATCAATAAATTAACAGTTTTCTACAAAGAATATTTGGGGTAATAAATAGAAAATGCATAGCTAACTTGATAGTACATGGTCACATATTCAGCCACTCAAACACCCTGGGAAAAGTGAAGCAGATGGCTATCAATATTGCACTCAAAGAATTGACTATCGACTTCAAAGTAATTATGTAGCAAGAACAAGGTAAAATACGGCATTATGTCGGACTGAGCTGTCTGCAAAACACTGCCTATTGCTTGTCCTATATGATCTGAGTGAAATATATGCATACAAACACTCACTAAGATTAACATTAAAAACAAATTTGGACCTAATTGTACATGGATCTCTGAGACATATTATCCAAATGAATTAATTTGATCGACTTGTTGGCTCAAGTTCGGGAGCATTTTCCTGGTACCGAACTTTAGGGTTCCTCCTAATAACAGCCCTGTAGATTCTCTGCTTTAGATTAAATTCACTAGCAACGATCCTAAATACAGCCGGAAATCTACCAAGTTACCACATATGAATTTGAATCTAAATATCCGGAGGGAAAATCTCCTCGTAAGTGCTTAAAAAATCGGTATATATTTTATTAATCTCCGAATTTCTGGTTCCTCAAGGTAGTGGCAAGATGGGGAGGAATTCTCATACCAGACTATTGCAGTTAATACATCTTCGGTTCTTCGGAAGTTTCAAAAGATTACGTATGGTTCTTTCGATTTTCTCTTCTTCCTTGACACGACTTGCCATGTTTCAAACTTCGAATCTTCTTCATAAAAAAATCGAAAAGGAAAAACGTTACTTCCAGTAAACAATGAGTTGAAAAAAAACTTAGATCGATCTGTATACAGGCAAATAATTTCTAAACGGGAGGAAGACAAAATCTAGATTACTGTAACAATGAGAACAAAATATCCTCCAAACAAGCTCAAATGATTCATTACACAAGATTTCGCTTCTCTTTTAAGTTAATGGCTCGTTTTCCTTCAACAAAACGAATACAGAATGCAATCGGGAGAACGTACCTGATCGACGATGAAAAATTAAGAACCAAATGGCATTCAAAAGGAACCTGAGCGATGGTCGCAAATTTGTAAGAGAATAGCAAGAGCAGAGAAACGAGTCGAACCGCAAAGAATAGCAGGGACATGGAATGAAGGGATTAGGTTCAGACATGTATGCGAGAAAGTAGGTTGGGGTTTCAATGGCGGGAAGGCGGATTGGAGAGAGAGAGAGAGAGGGGAAATGGGCCGTTATCAACGGTTGGTTGGTAACTTTTGTGTCCTTTGTTGCATGTGACTATTTACATGAGCATCCCTTTGAAATAAAATATAACTCCCCTCATTCATTTATGTGTCACACCCGACGCTCTTGAGCATGGGAAGTACATACGACGATCTTTACCTTGTCGAAACAGACACTCTTGATGCACTTGTGATGAATATAACCCTTGGATTCTTTTTTCTGACGTTCTTGTCCGACTAGGCACACAAGATGTAGTTCTGATATCAACTATCACAGTCGTACATCTTTAACCGTCTTTGCCTTGTCCAAACCGACACTTTTGATGCACTTGTGATGAGTTCAACCCTCGGATTCTTTTTCCTAACATTTTTTTTCGACCAGACACACAAAATGTGGTTCTGATATCAACTATCACAGTCGTACATCTCTAACTATCTTTGCCTTGTCCAAACCGACACTCTTGATCATCGAATTCTTTTTTCCGACATTCTCGTCCGACTAGACACACAAAGTGTGAATCTAATATCAACTATCACGGTCGTACATCTCTAACCGTCTCTGCCTTGAAACTGACACTCTTCATGCACTTGTGACGAATTCAACCCTTAGGTTCTTTTTTCCAACATTCTTGTCCAACTAGAGACACAAAGTGTGGCTTTGATATCAACTATCACAGTCTGTGTGACTCTGATACTATCACGGTCGTACATCTCTAACCGAGTAGCTTCAGGATCTTAACACGCTCATGACATTTATTTTCATCTGAAAAGAGACGGCTAAAATCATTTACAATAATCCATTTATGATTGCGTCAATTTAAAAACTCGTTTCCCTAAGAGGAGAGGCCAAACACAAAAGAATTAGTTAAGAAAACCCTAAACAACTTGCAAAAAGTGAAGAATTGACTAAAAAATAGTGAAAAAAAAAAGGTCTGTGAGAAGGATCATCAGAGTAGTAATAGCATAAACAGTAGAATATGTATTTACAGAGAGAATATGGAATGGCATTGAAGAGATGATGATGTATTATTGAAGCTAAGATGCTCATTTGATGGATGGAACAAGACAGAAGAAGGGGGAGCTTTTAAAGTGAAACAAAAGAACAAGGTGATATGGGGAGAGCTGAAAACTGTACAAATATGGGGGAACCCTAAAAACCTGATCACTACAATGTTCTGCCACTCAAATGAGAGGATCCCTCTCAATCATGCTGGCCTAAAAAAAACCCTTCCTTCTGGATCTGGGAAGAGAGCTGTAGCAACAAATTCTCATCGTTTACGACTCGCTTTCGTCGTGTCAGAAGTGGATCTCGGACGCTCTAGCAACAAATTCTCATAACGTACCCCGCTCGTTTTTGTCGTGTCAGAAGTTCGCTATTAAATCTGCACATTAATGTAAAAAGGGGCTGTACTGTATACCATTGACAGAAGAGTAAACAAGGCCCTTCACTAACAAAATCGTCGTCGTTGTCGAAGCTACTCCGCTTGTCATTTAGATGCAAATCAGTGAGATCGAGCAATCGCAGGAAGTTGTGGTCGTTAGGTTTCGGATTTTTTTCACTTTTCTATCCATCGCCATTGGCGTCGTCTTGGGAGGCAGCTTTCATTGCTTCGGCAGTCATGATAGCAACCACTGCCTTGTGAATTGCAAGGTCTGCTCTGTAAAGTAATCGTCTCGCCTTCTCTCTTTTGAGCTTAGCCATATTGCGTGCGTGCTGAGCAGCACCAGATGCATCGCGGAGCCTGAACTCACTGAGGTCGGAACCTTCCAGTTGCTCGATAATTTGCCTTTGGGATTCATCAAGCTGATAATGTCGAGGGCTTGACCGCTCGGAATAACCGTTATTCCACCTATTTAACCCATCTCTCTTACCGATCGTTCTCTGATTGAAAGAAGATACCATCATAGAGTCATATGGAGATGACCACGCCCCATACTTTCTGGGCTTGCTCTTATGAAGTTTAGGTAGAAAACTCCTCTCCAATCCGTTATTACTCAAAATTCCGCCTTCAAGTCGTGGCGAAAATAAGCTGGGCGACGTGTGAATCAAAGGAGAATCTTCTACAAACTCATAGTTATGGCCTACATAGGCCATCTTATCATCCCCAAAGGCAAACCCATTCAATCTTCTACCTGATAAACCAAGTCGAAAGAGTCAAATAACTACGAAAGAAGTTCAACGTAAAGTTGTTCGAGTTCAATAACTAAATGAAACGGGTAAAAATGGACAATGGAATTTACCAAAGCTATCCTGATTATAAGCAATAGAATTGCTATGACCAGACACTGAAAACTTCCTCTGCGACCTTTGCTTAGAGCCTTTATTGAAGACTTCGAGGCCACGGGGCTTCAAACAGAATGCAAACATAGGTGGTTTCTCGACCGATGCAGCCTTCTCGTGATATCCATTGCAAAAATTGGTATTGTTTTTGTTAACTGTAGACTCCCACTCTTTTAATTGCAGTTGGTAGGTCTCCCAAAGAGGCGGCTGGAAAAGGCACAAGATGCATTTTTGTAGTGTCAATTTTAAAATATAAATATATGTGCAAACAAGTCATATTGTTCACAAAAGAAGAAAATGCCACTAACATAACAGACTGGACATCAACAACCGCAAGAGAGAGAAGAAAGATATGGAAAAAAACGATGTAACAGCCCAAGACCAAGCCCACCACTATTGGATATTGTTTGTTTTGACCCGTTACGTATCACCATCAGCCTCACAGTTTTAAAACGCATCTGTTAGGGAGAGGTTTCCACTCCAATAAAGAATGTTTCGTTCCCCTCTCCAACCAACATGGGATCTCACAATCTACCCTTCCTTGAGGGCCCAGCGTCCTCGCTGGCAAACTACCCGGCGTCTAGCTCTGATACCATTTGTAACAGCCCAAGCCCACCGCTAATAGATATTGTCGGCTTTGGCCTGTTACGTATCGCCGTAAGCCTCACGGTTTTAAAACGCATCTATTAAGGAGAAGTTTCCACACTTTTATAAAGAATGTTTTGTTCCCCTCTCCAACAGATAATGAATGACTTATGCGAAATAAATGCGGGGCATATCAGTCTCTACCTCATTTGCATTTTTTAGCTCTCATGGAGTCAATAACTGTTACCAATTTCGTTTTCGATAATTATTTCTATCAAAGCAGCAGCGCGTGCGAGGAAGAGCAGAAAATGCAGAGGACTCATAATGTGAAGGAATTTAAAGACCAAAACGCTACCTGAAGATTCCGAATTAAAGGCATTCCCTTCCGCCGCCTTTTCCGCTGCCAATACTCGAAGATGGCTTTAGTCGAACCTGAAACCAGAGTTTCATTCATCACCTCTGCTATCTCATCATCTGTGAACTCATCGCATTGCTGAGAGTATGCAGCCTTCTCAAATGCATCCATTGTCTTCTCGAAAAGCTCACTTGAAACCTCCCCCAAGCCACTACTACTGCCAACTTCCGAAGAACTTTCCTTGATCCACTGCTCATCGTCGCTGTCCATGTCATACAAGACACGGTTTGGGTTCAAAGCCATTTCAACATCTGTTTCTACCTGCCGGAAGTACTGGGAAGGATTCCGCATAAATGCAACCTCAGCTACATGTTCATCATTTTCCTCTATCAAGCAAACACCAGGGATCGGAATATTTTTAACAGAAGCTGCTCTAATGTTTCGATTGTAACACTCCTCGTGCAACTCCTTGAAGATTGCCCACTGACTCCTATCTGGAAACTCCAAAATCCAGTCCTTTTCGCCCTTCCACATCATAGCATGTGTATACCGATTTGTAGATCCAGGTTGCAAAAATTGATGAGCCTTGTAAGAGTATTTGGTAATTCCTGAAAGTTTGATAGCAAGCTTCCATTCATTATGATCAAAGACTTCTAATACCACCCTTGCCCCACATTCTCTCCACCCTCTATCACCAAGTGTAATCAACACGTTTGCATCACATGACAGTAGTTCTAAGTTCCTTTGGGATCCACTAGCTACATCCAACCTCTTCTCACTAGCCCTTCTAATTCGCTTGAAAGGAATTGCTTTAGGGTAAGAGTTTCTGTTCTTTGAGCTATAATCAAAAGCTCCAAAAGGCAACAAGTAGGACACCTGAGTTCGGGGTTTCTTCGTCCTATTTCCCAAACTTTTGTTAAGAAAATCTTTTCCATCTGACCATCCATGTGAAACCAATCCAAATGGTGAGTTATTCTTATTTCGATGCCATGTGCTTCGTGGTGCAGTTGGGTTAGGGCTGGGAATGATGCCAGTATTCACATTCCATGCTATATCCATAGAATGCTGAGCACTGTGCAACTCCCCATCCACAGGCTGAAATGATGGAACCTCAACACTAAGGTCATTCAAAAATGAATCTCTATCAGATCTTGCCACATTAGGTAAAAGAATTACTTTCTTTGATTTGTTCTTTCCCAATGATCGCATCCGCCTCTTGACATCATTTCTAGTCTTGTTTGAGTCCCGAGACCCTGCACAAGTTTCAGCAACAACAAGACTACTCCTTTTATACTGGGAGGACTGTACCCCATCTCCGTCCTCACCATCAGAGATACCAGTCCCTAGATCTGACTGAGCACAGGAATTCCAGATATCAGACGTCTTTGACGAGGTACTAAGACTATTAGTACAGTCATCCATATACACATCATCGACAGTCAATTTGCCAAAATTTTCTGGATGCTCAACTGAATCGTGATGTTGCAAACGTAAATGAGAAACACACTGTTCCATTAGCAGCTTGAGATGCAAACTAAGGAAAAAGGTAGGTGCAGCAGTAAAAGAAAGAGCAAAAGCAGGAAAGTTTCTCTTCATTTCATTGGAGCACAAATTAGAGTGACCATTGCTCACGCATGCAGCTCCTTTGAGGTTGATACCAAGACTACTAATCTTCTGTTTGACCTGATCAGAGAAGAAACACTGAAGGAATTACTACAAGATGAAATATCTGGCCTTGGATTGGAAGATCATGTAAAACAAGGATAAGAGAAAGCAAAAAATAC